CGGTCTGGGTTCGATCCCGGGTCTGGTCAAGTGGAATTTGTGGTGGACAAAGTGGCGCTGGGGCAGGTTTTCTCTGAGTACTTCGGTTTCCCCTGCCAATCTTCATTCCACCAATTGCTCCACAATCAACCTCAGCTATCATCTGGGGCTGGTACAATAGGCCAGAAGTGGCCGCAGTACAAGGGACTTAGTCCCAACCCACTAGCAATAAAAAAAATAATAAAAAATATATACATTTCTTCACATAAAGCAATTGTCTACCTTGTCTGTCTACCCTTCCAAACAAATGGCAACACATTTCGCTACTGTCCTCACTATATCCTTTGGTAGGTTCCCTCATTACCACCGTCACCCTACTTACACCTGTACCACCTTCAGCTTGTTTTCCTAACCTGAAGATGGTGACAGAATTTTCCTTCGAAATGTCAGTGAACTTATACCAGACTGCATGGCGTCACATCTTAGAAGAAAGTAATCTGTAATACGAATATTGTAGCCCCTCAACTTGCTGAAGTAATAACTTCAATTTTACTTGAATGCCTTAACCGATCGTCATGTCATTTGATACGTTCATTATGCCATCCGAGGTCATCTCAGGGGCATATTTAAAGATTTCTCTCTTCAGTAATGCCAGCATTACAGCCTCTCAAATTGTTAAGGTGTTAACCTTAGTATTACTTGAATACCTTAAATAATCTTCACGAAACTTGCACGAAACTCACACCAAATGCGGTCTTCCCAACGGCGAATATCATAAATTCCTTCCATCTGTAATATCAAAGCTGCAGACTATCAAATTTTATTGTTGTATTGACTTTGTTACGGATCTTTAGTAATTCTCTTCTACTTCTAGTATCAGCTAATCAAATTGCAATGAAAGTAAATTAGGCGAAAAATTCTTCCCAGAAATAAATTCTTATTTGTTTCGTAAGCATTAGGCATATAGCGCCCAAGCTATAGTACGGTCTGCTCCTGCTAATTACTTATCTCAGTTTGTTTCTACGTCACTTTCGTGCTTTCTTAAATTCCGATGGGAAGATAATATTAAAATGAATCATAAGGAAATAAGTTGGAAATGGCCTGGACTGTAATTACCCCTCACGATGGGCAGCAGTTACGGGCTGTTGTGGATAGCTGTTCGAGCTTCGGCTTCTGCAAATGCTCATCGTTTGTTTGTTAACTGAGCGAGTGTTAGACTGTCAAGGACTCATCTCTGCGGAGCTAGTAATGATCGAACTTCTGTTTAATGTGTTAATTCAGCAGACTATTTGTGATCAATACATCGCTCAGTGTTCATATATCATAAGAAATATAAAAATGACCTGATCATTGCTATGTACATAGAAATTTAGTTAATTAAATTGTGTAACAGCCGGTCACGGTAGCGGAGCGGTCTAAGGCATGTACTGTCTTCGCTCGCTTGGAAACCGGGATCGTGGTTTCGAATCCCACTCAGGGCATAGATGTTTAGTTTGTGTGTGTGCGTTTTTCTGTGTTTGTGTACAGGTAGATGCCTTGCGACGAGCTGAACACCCGCCCAAGGAGACCTACCGAATGTGTCATCATCATCATAGTCAGTAATCTGTCAGACGACAGATCCACAGTCTCTTCCAAAACAATTCCTCGACTTAATGCGATCTAGAACTTTCTCCTTCAAATGGCAGTATTCTCTTCTGTCCCCAAGGTCATCCAGCATCTTCTTACGTCTTCTTCCTCGTCTTCTTGTCACTTCTATCCGCCCATCTATCTTTCCTTCAATAACTTCTTTTAGAAGGCAGTTTCTGCGTAAAACATGACCAATCCAATTAGCCTTCCGTTTTCTTATTTCGTGTAGGATATTCCTCTGCTCACTGACTCTAATTAACACTTCTTCATTTCTCACATAATCGATCCAACTGATCTTCTCCATCCTTCTCCAACAC